ACTCCAGCCTGGGTACTGGGCAACAGAACGAGACTCTGTCTCAAGAAAAAAAAAGCTATAGAGGGCCAGGCGTGGTGGCTCATGCCTATAATCCCAGCACTTTGGGAAGCTGAGATGGGTGGATCACCTGAGGTCAGGAGTTGGAGACCAGCCTGACCAACATAGTGAAACCCCATCTCTACTAACACAAAATTAGCGAGACATAGTGGGCACGCCTGTAATCCCAGCTACTTGTGAGGCTGAGGCAGGAGAGTTGCTTGAACCTGGGAGGTAGAGGTTGCAGTGAGCCAAGATCACGCAGCCTGGGCAACAAGAGCAAAACTCCATCTAAAAAATAAATAAATAAAAACCTGTAGTGATCGGGTGCAGTGGCTGATGCCTGTAATCCTAATACTTTGGGAGGATAACTTGAGGTCAGGATAACTTGAAGTCAGGCGTTCGAGACCAGCCTGGCCAACATGGCAAAACCCCATCTCTACTAAAAACACAAAAATTAGCCAAGCGTGGTGGTGCAAACCTGTTAGCCCAGCTACTTGGGAGGCTGAGGCACAAGAATCACTCAAACCTAGGAGGCGGAGGCTGCACTGAGCTGAGATCAAGCCACTGCACTCTGGCCTAGGTGACACAGCATGAGACTTAAGTCTAAAAAAAAAAGCTGTAGTAATCAAGACTGTGGGATTGGTGAAAGAAAAGACAAATATATAAATGGAACAAAACAGACAGCCCAGAAATAGACCTACGTAAATATTGTTAACTGATCTTTGATGAAAGAGCAAAGGCAATATAATGGAGAAAAGATAGGTTTTCAACAAATGGTACTGAAATAATTGTATCTCCACATGCTTAGAATGAAGCTGGAGGCCCATCTTACTCCATCTACACATATTAACTCAAAATGATTAAAGACCAGCCAGGTACAGTGGTTCACGCCCATAATCTCAGCACTCTGGGAGTCCAAGGCAGGCAGATCACTTGAGGTCAGGAGTTTGAGACCAGCCTGACCAACATGGTGAAACCCGTCTCTAATAAAAATACAAAAAATAGGCAGGCATGGTGGCACATGCCTGTAATCCCAGCTACTCAAGAGGCTGAGGCAGGAGAATTGCTTGAACCTAGGAGGCAGAGGTTGTAGTGAGTCAAGATCGTGGCACTGCACTCCAGCCTGGGCAACAGAGCAAGACTCCATCTCAGGTAAAAAAAAAAAAAAAAAAAGATCAAAAACCTAAATATAAGAGCATTAGGAGAAAATATAGAGGTAAACTTCATGACCTCGGATTTGGCAATGGATTCTTTGTTTCTTTTTTTTTTTTTTTTGAGATAGGATCTGGCTCTGCCAACAGACTGGAATGCAGTGGTGCAATCACGGCTCACTGCAGCCTTGACCTCTTGGGCTTAAACAATCCTCCCACCTCAGCCTCCCAAGTAGCCAGAACCATAGACACATGCCACCACACCCAATTAATTTTTTTTTTTTTTTTTTAGAAACAAGGTCCACTATATTGCCCTGGCTGGTCCCAAACTTCTGGGGTCAAGTGATCCTCTTGTCTCAGCCTCCCAAAGTGCTGAGATTACAGGAACGAGCCACTGCAGCTGGCCAATGGATTCTTAGACGTAGCAACATCAGAAGCAGAGGCAATAACAAACAAAAAAGATAAATTGAACCTTATCAATATTAAAACCATTTTGTGTCAAAGAACACTATCAAGTGAAAAGACAATCTGAAGATATAAAGTATCTGTAAATCATGTATCTAACAAGGGTTTAGTATGTAGAATATATAAAGAGTGCTTACAACTCAACAAAAAGACAACCCAATTATTAAATGGGCAAAAGGTGTGAACAGGCATTTTTCCAAAGATAAACAAATGGCCAAAAGGCACATAAAAATATGATAAGCAGACTGAGGCAGAAGGATTGATTGAGCCCATGAGTTTCAGCCCAGCCTAAACAACATAACAAGACCTTACCTCATTTGAAAACAAAAGATACTCAACATCAATGTCATTAATCATTAGGGAAATACAAATCAAAACCACAATAAGGTATCATTTCACACCCACTAGGATGACTATAATGAAAAAAATCGGAGAATAAGTGTTGGTGAGGATGTAGAGAAACGGGAACCCTCATACACTGCTGGTGGGAATGTAAAATAGGCAGCTGCAGTGGAAAAGAGCTTGGTAGTTCCTCAAAACATAAACAAAACTGCTATATGACTCAGCAATTCCAGTCCTAACAGATAACCACAAGAAACGAAAACTTACGTCTACACAGAAAATAACACATGAATAATCACAGGAGTACTATTCATAATAGCCAAAAAGTAAAAACAACATAAGTGTCCATCAACAGATGAATGGATAAACTGCAATATTCACATACAATGCAATATTACTCAGCAATCAAAAAGACTGAGACACTGTATGCTACACCATAGATAAATCTTGAAAACATGCTAAGTGAAAGAAACCAGATACAAAGGACCACAAACTATGTGATTCCATTTACATGAAATGTCCAGAATAGGTAAATGAACAAAAACAGAAATCAGATTAGTGGCTCCCAAGGGACAGAGGGTGAAGGGATAGGGAATGATTGCTGAATGGGAAGGTGTTCTTTTGGGATGAAAATGTTCTGAAAATAGAGACAGGTAGTGGTTACACAACACTGTGAATGCACTAAACGTCAGTGAATTCCATACTTTAAAATGATTGTTTGTACATGTGTGTTTTTTCACCTTAATTTTTTTAAAGCATGTATATCAGAGAAAAATGACTAAATAAAATTAATTCAGCCTTTGAACAAATGTTTGGAAAAGCTATTTGAAAAGTTTACATTCTAAAATTCAGTTTGTTTCTTACAATTTAATCAAATGGACAAGAGGAGACCAGATGATACAGCTACTTGAAGGATACAGCTACTTGGGTGAACACAGGCCTGACTGGGATGGGAAAGTCAGTCACAAGAACACAGCCATGTAATGGTTTTATTTCAAATGCCAATTTATTTTATTTAATATACTAAGTCCACATATTAAAGTGCTATTCTTAATTTACAATGTCCAATGACCTATGTGAAATGCTTTTTAAATCAATGGCTTACTGTGTGCAAGTTCTCCTCCCTCCTTCAATACTGCCAGCCCATGGGCCTAGAGTGGAGGCATCCTACACTTTCTTTCATTACACAGGACTCAACAACAATCTAGTGAGCAAAGGTATTTAACTGGAAAACAATTTTAAAAGGGCTTTTTAGGAAAAAGGCTTTATTCCTACAAGTGATTTTGTTCTTTCCCTCTACCATGGGGTAGCTTCGCCACAAAACATTGGTATACAAAATCCTCTCAACCAACATACAATTTTAAGTATGTATTAGTGACACATCGGTTACTCTAGGTTACATATAAGTCACTCTACTGACTCTCAAGGCTGCCCCTTTTGTACGCCTCAGGTTGTGCCAGTTTTGTAAAGTGTCACCTTTAACACACACAAATAACTGGCCTGTCAGCTGAATAAAATTCTGTTAATCAATTTCTGAGTTTCTCAAATAAGAGGCACTAAACACCTACAAAGTTGTTTGCCAGTAATGTAAATATTCACCAGTACTGTAAATATTCACCAATACTGTAAACACTAGACTTGAAGATTGACAAGTGATTTTCAATCTGGATCTGGGGTAAACACTAGAACGTATTCCCCAATCCTGGATGGCTTTGGTCAAGAAATGTGATTGAGGTCAGGTATGGTAGCTCATGCCTGTAATCCCAGCACTTGAGGAGGCTAAGCTGGGTAGGCGGATCACTTGAGCCTCAGTAGTTCAAGACTGGCCTAAATAACATGGCAAAACTCTGTTTCTACTATTAAAAATAAAAATAAGGCCAGGTGTTGTGGCTCACACCTGTCATCCCAGCACTTTGGAAGGCCAAGGTGGGAGGATCACCTGAGGTCAACAGTTTGAGACTAGCCTGACCAACAAGGTGAAACCCCGTCTCCACTAAAAATACAATAATTAGCAGGATGTGATAGTGCACACCTGTAATCCCAGCTACTTGGGGAGCTGAGGCAGGAGAATCGCTTGAACCCAGGATGTGAAGGTTGCAGTGAGCCAACACTGCACCACTGCACTATAGCCTGGGCAACAGGAGCGAAACTCTCTCAAAAAAAATAAAGAAAATTAAAAAAAATAATAAAATACAAAGAAATAAAAGAAAATGTAAGTAGAAGATAACTTTAAAAATATGTCTGGCAATCATAGATTAGGATTAGAAAAAAGAGAGAGGAAATTAAAATATTTACTTAATAAATGGAGTCGATAAAATGATCTTAATTCTTCATTCATGGAAGAAAAATAAGACATATCACTGGGAACCACGGAAGTTCAACTTAGAATGCTTGGAACTCATCAGGGACACAATACTTAGAAGTAGATCCAAAAAGAGATTTTGAGATTCCCACCTACCTCTTCGCCGAGGCTGGAGACTTGGCCACGATTACTGCATTCCTGTAATCCAGGATCTGTGAGGGACAGGAAGTCAGACATTACTGCATGTCTCTAAGAGGCTATTCCAACAATCAACAAAACGCTAAATTCCAACAGACCCAAAAATGCTTGGTTAGTTGAATGTTTTCCAAAAAAAAGAAAAAGTTCAAAGTAAAATTCTCCTTTGGAAAATGAAGAAAGGAACCTACCTATGAAAAAATATTGGCCGGGCGCGGTGGCTCAAGCCTGTAATCCCAGCACTTTGGGAGGCTGAGGCGGGTGGATCACGAGGTCAAGAGATCGAGACCATCCTGGTCAACATAGTGAAACCCGTCTCTACTAAAAATATTAAAAAAATGGTGGTGTGTGCCTGTAATCCCAGCTACTCGGGAGGCTGAAGCAGGAGAATTGCCTGAACCCAGGAGGTGGAGGTTGCGGTGAGCCAAGATCGCGCCATTGCACTCCAGCCTGGGTAACAAGAGTGAAACTCTGTCTCAAAAAAAAGAAAAAATATTACTGGTTGTTGCAGCCGCCAAGACCAAGATGGCCGCGAGACTCAGCGCCTTCCTCACGAATGCTTGGGCCAAGGAGCCAGTACTGGTCATGTCCTTCTTCATCGGGACCCTAGCTATAATTCTGTCCCCACTTAGCCCCTACTTCAAGTACTCTGTCATGATCAACAAGGCCACGCCCTACAACTACCCAGTGCCTGTCCTCGATGATAGGAACATGCCTGACATACCCAGCCACTGCCAGGACCCCCATGGGCCCAGCCTGGAGTGACTGAAGTACCTGTGAGCACCTCCACTGACCAAGGCGGGCCCTCTCCCAGCTCCCAATAAAAATGTGAAAACCAAAAAAAAAGGAAAAATATTACTAAGGTACGAGCCACAAAGATTTCTTTTAAGAAAAAAGGAATAATTGGTGATTAGCTCATATCTCTGCCCGCAAATACTAATAATATAGTATTAAGATGTTTCTATATATCTAGCCAACAAGAATCCTAATTACATGTAATTTCAAAGTACAAGGATATCCAATTCAATCTGAATATAAGCTGACAGTTGAAGTCCAAATTAGTGCAGTCCAAACAAATGGCTATTTAATGTATCGCAGTCATAACATGCTGAAGAAACCAATTTGTTAAAGCATAATCAGCCCATCACTATTTTTAAAAAATATATTAACTATATTCTTATTGCTTTTTTCCTCACAATTATACCAATGAATTTTACTATAAGCAGTTAATAACATCTAGCACCATGTGTAATACAATGCCTAATAACAAGCACTAAATAATAACTGCTTAGCAAATGAACAAAAAAAATGATTAATGTGAAGAATCTACTACAGTTGCATCCAGCATAATCACATGGTTCAGCTGTATCTACAGGAAGGCCTAATTTATCCAACACTCTCAGGAAGTAAAGCAGTAAAATATATTTCCATTTGGGCACTTGCATTATTTTTGCTGGCAGTCTTTCTGAACTGTTTCATGTACTTCCTTGTCTCATCAAACATCATCAAACATTACCAAACCCAGACAAGAAAAGACAGAACCAAGAAAACAGTTAATAAAACAATTAAAGGGCCTAAAAGAAACAGATCTTTTCTTAACCAAGAAAACAGTTAATAAAACAATTAAAGGGCCTAAAAGAAACAGATTTAACAAAAACAGATCTATTGTCTCTACAGAGGTTAAAATGGGAAGTTATATACATCAAGAAGGAACAAGTTATCATGAAAAAGAACCAAAAATAAATTAAAGAAGAGGAAGTGATTATGGTCTAAAGAAACTCAGTAGCTGGCTGGCTGAACAGCAGAATGAACACAGCTTTAAGAACAAACCTGAGATCAAGCCAAGGAAGTTCCCGACAAAGCTATATATAAGTATGCAAAAAGTAAAATAAGTGGTTAAAAGTTATAGAGACCCAAAATTTTAAAACATAATAGTTCCCAAAGGAAAAGAATAAAAGAAATAGAAGGGATGAAATACTTAATAGATAAAAACAATTCCCAAAGATGGCTGGGCACAGTGTCTCACGCATGTTGTAATCCCAGCACTTCAGGAGGCCAAGGCGGGCAGAACACCTGAGTCAAGACCAGCCTGGCCAATATGGCGAAACCCCTTCTCTACTAAAAATGCAAAAGAAATTAGCCAGGCATAGTGGCGCACACCTGTAATTCAGCTACTCCACAGGCTGAGGCAGGAGAATTGCTTGAACCCAAGCAGTGGAGATTGCAGTGAGCCAAGATTGTGTCGCTGCACTCCAGCCCGGCCGACAAGAGTGAGACTCCATCTAAAAAAAAAAAAAAAAAAAAATCCCAAAGAATAAACGGGACCCACTGAGTATCTAATGAGATAAATGGAAAAAAGATCCATCCAGACACTTCATGGTGAACTTCAAAATCATGGCAAAAAAGATAAAACTCTAGGTTGGGCGCGGTGGCTCAAGCCTATAATCCCAGCACTTTGAGAGGCCGAGGCGGGTGGATCACGAGGTCAAGAGATCGAGACCATCCTGGTCAACATGGTGAAACCCCGTCTCTACTAAATACACAAAAAATTAGCTGGGCGTGGTGGCATGTGCCTGTAATCGCAGCTACTCAGGAGGCTGAGGCAGGAGAATTGCCTGAACCCAGGAGGCGGAGGTTGCGGTGAGCCGAGATCGCACCATTGCACTCCAGCCTGGGTAACAAGAGCGAAACTGTCTCAAAAAAAAAAAAAAAAAAAAAAGATAAAACTCTATTTTAGATGGGGAAATCTTGCCCCCTGCCCCCAAAGAAATACATAGGATACTCAATCTTATTAGAAATCAGAGAAATCACTAGAAATCAGTAGCCTGTGGTCCCAGCTACTTGGGAGGCAGAAGAGGGAGAATCACTTGCGTCCGGGAGGTCAAGCCTGCAGTAAGTTGATCACGCAACTGCACTCTACTATGGGTGACAGAGCAAGACCCTATCTCAAAAACAAAGAAAAAAGGAAAAAGAAAAATCCTGGTGCACACCAATGATTACTAGGCTATCACCACAATACTTAGTTATGTTTTAAAACATGCACTATATCCAAGCTGAAGAGCCAGTCATTGATAGCAAAAATGAAAAAAATAAATGTAAAAAGTAAAAAACATACACTATATTTAATAAATATGAAACCACTTTTTGTCCTATATTAATATCCCCAAAACTGAGATGTCTCACATCGGGCAGTGTCCCACAGCAGCTGGGATGTGCTTTTTCTTTCCTTCACATGCACAGAGGCCACAGCACTCCTATGGGCCTCACTTCAAGTGAGGCACAGGCACCACTTGTTCTATTCAGGCTGAGTTTAACTGCCATTTAAAATGTCTCCAGAAGACAACAGATGCTGGAGAAGATGTGGAGAAAAAGGATCACTTTTACACTGGCGGGAGTGTAAATTAGCTCAACCATTATGGAAGACAGTGTGGTGATTCCTCAAGGACCTAAAAACAGAAATTCCATTTGACCCAGCAATCCCATTACTGGGTATATACAAAAAGGATTATAAATCGTTCTATTATAAAGACACATGTACACGTATGTTCGCTGCAGCACTGTTTACGGTAGCAAAGACCTGGAATCAACCCAAATGCCCATCAATGATAGACTGGACAAAGAAAATGTGGCACATATACACCATGGAATACTATGCAGCCATAAAAAATGACGAGTTCGTGTCCTTTGTGGAGACATGGATGAATCTAGAAACCATCATTCTCAGCAAACTGACACAAGAACAGAAAACCAAACACCTCATGTTTTCACTCCTAGGCAGGTGATGAACAATGAGAACACTTGGGCACAAGGAAGGGAACAACACTCACTGGGTTAGGTGGGGAGGTAGAGGGGAGGGGAGGTGGGGCGAATGGGGAGGGATAATACCAGGAGAAATGCCTGATATAGGCAACAGGGTTGGTGGGGAGGGGGGGATGTGGCATGTATGTACTTATGCAACAATCCTGCAAGATGCAGGATGTGCACATGCATGTACCCCAGAGCCCAAAGTACAATAAAAAATAATAATAATAATAATGTCTCCAGAAGGAATCACTATGATTCTTTTCATTAAAATGAAAAACTGGCTGGGCACGATGCCTCGTGCCTGTAATCCCAGCACTTTGGGAGGCGCCAAGGCAGATAGATCACCTGAGGTCGGGAGTTCGAGACCAACCTGACCAACGTGGGGAAACTCCATCTCTACTAAAAACAAAAATACAAAAAATTAGCTAAGTATGGTGGCACATGCCCGTAATCCCAGCTACTTGGGAGGCTGAGGCAGGAGAATCACTTGAATCTGAGAGGCACAGGTTGTGGTGAGCTGAGATTGCACCATTGCACTACAGCCTGAGCAATAAGAGCATAATTCTGTGTCAAAAAAGAAAAATTATTGTGTATGCAGAAGACACAGGAAGAGACCATCAGGGTGTAATTTGATATTCACGAATCAAATATTCATCACTGGAAAAATAATACAATTCTACATTTTCTTGCAAGGCAACAATCAAATGCTGCATGAAACTTAGGAATGGAAGATCCCTACCAGTAGGTGAAACTGTGAAAAGGACTGAACCAGAAGAGGACTGCCTGATACATGCCCAGCAATGCAGTGGAAGGCAACAGACACTGCCAGATGCTTTGGGAATAGATGGCAAAAGTTTCAAGGCAACAAACATCCTAATACTAGAATTTTCTGAGTCTGGCAGAAGGTATATAAATTCCAGTGACAAAGACAAGAGATACAGAAAGTACGAGTTAGCAGAGAGGAAAGTGTCAGCATCAAAACCTGCAGAATAAGATCACTAAGTGACAAGAAGGCACAGTGCCACAGTATAATTAGCAGTGTTTTTCTCTTTCTTGGTGACATAAAATAATGTAAGGCTGGACTGACAGCACCTTAGATTGAGTGAAACATGAGTATCTACCCAACTGCTTTAAGAAGCTCTAACAGAAGAAAATAAAAAAGACAAGATATGCATACTATAAAAAGGCAATACAGGCCAGGGGTGGTAGCTCATACCTGAAATCCCAGCACTTTGGGAGGCTGAGGCAGGCAGATCAGTGGAGTTCAGAAGTTCAAAACTAGCCTGGCCAACAAGGTGAAACCCCACCTCTACTAAAAACACAAAACTTAGCTAGACATGCTTGCTTGAACTCAGGAGGCGGAGGTTGTAGTAAGCCAAAATCACACCACTGCACTCCAGTCTGGGCGACAGAGCGAGACTCTGTCTCCAAAAAAGAGGGCAATACAACAAAAATTCCTTTTTAACACTAAGTTTCCATAGAGTATTTATTTTATTTTATTTTTTGAGATGGAGTCTTGCCATGTTGCCCAGGCTAGAATGCAATGGCTCACTCTTAGCTTACTCCAACTTCCACCTTCCAAATATAAGTGATTTTCCTGTCTCTGCCTCCCAAGTAGCTGGCATTACAGGCACAGACCACCACACCCAGCTAATTTTGTATTTTTAGTAGAGTCAGGGTTTCACCATGTTGGCCATGCTGATCTCAAACTCCTAACATTGTGATCTGCCTGCCTCGGCCTCCCAAAGTACTGGAATTACAGGCATGAGCCACTGTGCTCAGTCTAGTATTTAATTTTTATAGTTCAAATAAATTTTTTCTGAAAGGACAGAAAATTTAAAAACTAAGATGTTATCATTAAAATGCCATCACTGTTAGCTCAACATCAAAAATAAAACCATTCCCTAGTTTGCTGATTCATAAATGTTGAGAGAGGCCAATCCTGACTTTTTTTTTTTTTTTTGAGACAAGGTGTCACTCTGTCGCTCAGATCACTGCAGCCTCAACCTCCTGGGAAGCCTCAATCTCCCAGGCTCAAGCAATCCTCCCACTTC